CAAAGCTTTTTTTCCCTATTTCTTTATCTAATTTCATTATTAACCTTTTTCTTGTATTTTTCATCTAAGAAACCATTTATCTTTTTATCCTTTAATGGGGTTTTTTCAGAAGAAATATCTTCAATAGAACTCACATCATGTAAATTAGTAATGTCTTAAGTTTGCTATTTGATTTCAGAGTCAGATATTAAATCATTCTCAATAGAACTAGTTTTAAGGTTATTTCATGAATTATTATACAAATCTCATTTTTCAGATAATAAATTAGTTCTAAGACTTCTTGTTCTTTTATAATAGGAATTTCAATCATATTAGCATTATGATTTGAAGATTTAGTATTCTGTGAAGTTTTGATCTGAGAAAGATAATTTTTTTTGTAATTGAACATTCAAGACAAACACTATAAATCATACGTCTATCTGTAAGAATAGTAATAATATTCTTTTATTGCAGATTTGTGAAAATAAGTTTGTGACATTCTAGACATAAAGCAATTCACGAATTCTTCTGACTAAAATATTCTATACAGAAGTATCTATATTTGGTCAGGATTCTCTAAAGCATTTAATGTAATATATAATATGATCTATTATAGCGATAAATTTATTATATTTATTAAATTTAAGTAATAAAGTTGTATTACTCAATAAAAATCATGTGATCACATGAAAAAATTCACACTTTTTTATGAGAAAAAAGAGAAATTCATTAGTCAGTATTAAAAACCCTTAGTGGGTGACACTTACTAAAGCATACTAAATAAAATTATACATCATTATAAAAAAATGGAAACCATGTCTTGCTAGGTATGTATTACTAATATTACTATCATGTATTACCTGATTGCTATACAATTCCTTAATGAAAAACCTTTTTAATTATATAATCAATTTTTTTGACCTAATTTTGCAATATCCAGAACAGTAAAAGATCTTACGCATTATATTTTCTCAGATTCTATATGGCAGAAAAGGTCATATATTTTCTGTTTTTTTTTCAAAGCACATTTCTAGTTATCTTCTTTAGAAGTGAGTTCTAGATTTTTTTATTAATAAGTATCTAAATCTTATACTCTTTATTAGTTTCATATAGTAGTTAATACATTAAAACAATGCTTTTCCAAAGAAATAGTATATATGTATTACTTTCTAATTTGAGACTTTAAATTTATCTTCAGCATTGGTAATTTTAAAATATAACAATAAAAATGTATTAGAACTATCTCCTATTAAGACATCTTGAAAAGATCCTTCTTTTTCATTACTTCTGAAATCTTAGATATACTGATACTCAACTCTTGTATAAGGTTTTTAGAATAAGAGAGTCCTCAATCTTAGTTTGTTTTACTTTCTTATAAAGGGTTTATCTGCAAATATACTAATCCACTTCTTATTATTAGCATCAAGCTGAATTGCTATTTCTTTCTCTCTATCAACAACTTTATTTTTATCTATTTCTTGATTAGATTCTTCTAATATTATTATAATTGTATTGATTTAAAGTTGCTTTTCTATTTTACTAACTACAGATAATGTATTAGACTGCAAATATCTCTTATTGGCAACTTTAGAAGAAGCATCATCAATTTTTTCAACATTTTATCTATAATCAAAAAATGGATATACATTTATCAAAGTATGTAAAAATTTTTTCTCAATGCAAAGTTTATAAAATACATATTTATAACTAAATAGTATGAACACTTTGATAAAAAGTTTTAAAATCCCATTAATACACTTTGAATATAGACTTAACTCTAAAACTCTAATAGATGCATCCTCAAGACTTTTTAGGATATTGTAAGTAAGATTTTTAAGATTGATTAAAGTTAGGATCTAATATAGAAATATATAAGAAGTGAGTCAGATTAGATTCTTACTGAAGGAGTTTTATAGCACTTGAATTTTCAGGAGAAAATGATCTTCAGATCAGTTATTTATTAATCTTCTTACAAATTAATAAAAATGATAAAAAATTAACATAAACATTTTTAAATCTTATATAAGAAATAAAGATTGATAAAATTTCTATATTTAAATACTGTTTTATTGTATCTTTCAAATAAAAATATTATTTGCAAAAATAAATGCAAATTTATATATGATTTACATATCACATAACCTAATCTTTAATAAAAATTTCTTTTAAACTTCGCATTTCTGATATATATTATATATTTTAGATAATCAATTTAGTCTACTATCTTAAACTTCTTTCATAAATGATAAGTTAATTCTACCATTTTCTTCTTATATTCACTTACTATATTTGAAGTCTCTAAATTAATTACTTTTTCTTTTTGAAAAATATGAGAAAAAAGTAAATAAATATTTATTTTAAATAAGTTTTTATATTATTAATATAAATATCTTAAAGCATATATATATATTAAGATAATACCTCTATATTTTTGATGTGATAAAAATGATTTTAAAAAGTCTCGTGATCGAATAGCACATCTTGAAAGAAAATTTAAGTATAAGCCAATATCTACTCTAACTTTTGTACCTAAATTCCAATTATCACCATTTACTTTAGTAGTCTATATATAAGAAAAAAATCAAAGAAAAGAGAAATCAAAAAAAGAATACATTATCTATTTTATAGATAACCCCTTTTATGTAGATCAAAAACTAAGTAAATCCTAAATCTGAACTAAAAGTAGTTACCTAATAGAACTTATACATGACAGAAACTATATTACTAAAAAAAGGTAAAGAGATAAGTCAATCCAAATACTTGAAAATCAGATAAGCATTTTAAAATATGAAGAAAAAAATTAGTATAAAGATAGAAAGAACTTGATTTAGGAGACCATGATATACCAGAAGATTTAAATCAATATATGTAACTTTATTATGATCTTAAATAATATAATTCAGAAGCTAATTATCTTTTAACATTAGAAGAATAGAGGAAGCCTCTTTTACATAAATCAAAGACTAAGTAAATTCTGAAGCTAAGTCAAGTCAAATAACCTAAGCATATGCTTTAACGTCTTTAGCTTGAAAAGGACAAAAAAGAGGAGTAGCTCTTTCACACAGATTAAGGATTAAGTAGAATATATTTACTTTAAAGAATATTATGTTAGAAATTCTAAAAGGTTATATAAAAATAAAACCTTAATGATTAAATAGATAGAAAATAATTTTTATGCAGAAGATAATCTTGCATATACTTTAATATTCTAATAGGTAACATAGTTAAATATAAAGAGATACTATATATACTTTAACTTATGATAGTATTTTGACAGAAAATTAAAAAATCTCTTCAAACATAGCTTAATAAGAAAGATCAGATAAAATCAGTTATAGCAAGTTTAAACAAGTATTTAACTATTATAAAAGAAAGTATTTCATAAAAAATAATATAAATAGATTTATACTATAGAGGACAAATACATCCAATTCTTTTAGAAGGAGATATAGATGAACATATAACCAAACTGCTGAAAAAATAGATAAACAAATTGAAGATACATTAAAAAAGGGATCTGGATATATTTTCAAACAAATTCTTTTAATATTAATTAAGTCTTATACATTTTATCATATTCTTAGAGCATATATTTATATTTTTAAAAAGCTCATAAAGATCAAATGTATCATCAATTTAGATAATTATATACTTATAGATTTAGAAACAAATAAACTTTTTGAAAAATGTCTTTAAGAAGCATTAAAAGCGTACTTTGCATATCAGGATGGACATACAGAACACTTTAAAAGAATTTTTTGAACAAAGAAACTTAAATTATATCTGAAAAGATCAAACTAAATGGAATCACTATATTAATACCTATTTACTTATATATATTCAAAAAATTTGAGAAAATGAATTCTGATATTTCTATTAATATTTGGAGGTAGAAAAAAGAATTAGCAATTCTAAAATCTGTAATTTATAGTAAAAACTTTAATAGATCTCATATTATACATCTTATGGCTCTTACTAAAAAGAGTGGTTTCTCTAAAAATCTAAATATAATCAAAAAAATCATTTTCTATGAATAAAAAATCATAATGAATTAGTATTTAGAAATACAAAACATTATGGTAAAAGATATTTTTGTAATCGATGTGAATTAAATTTTTCAACTATAAAATCTAGAGATTATCATCAATAATATTATTTTAGATTTGGAAAAGATTATTAAAGAGTTGAAATGCTAGTAAAAAAGGTTAATTACTTTGAAGAATTTAAGAATTATAGACAAATGATAAATATATCATGTATAATTATAACTGATTTTAAGGCAGATATTAAAAAATGTGATGAAATATATAATGGTACCTCTGTCACATTAAGTGTCACTCATGATTATTTTTATACTAATTTTTTACTTATTTTCTGGTCTCATATAAATAGTCAGAAAATCACTAATTTTATAAAAATAGTTTAAAAAATAATAACAACTTAATAATTTGTATTAAAACTAAATAACATTTTTTATTTGAATTTTATTTGATTAATATTTGACTAATATTTTTATTATATATTATAAAAATATAATTTCTAATAAAAAATATTAATCGCATTTAAAAGTAATATTAATATTAATATTACTATAATTTTCTACAGAAATTTTTGGAATTTTTGATTTTTAATACATTAAATTATCATACAACTCATTATTTTTTATAAAGATAGTATTATTATATTATTTAATTAGATCAGATACCTTAGAAAATCTTAAAAAAATTATAATCAGTTTTAAACAATAAAATTAATAATTTTAATAAATGTTTGTTTACATATCAAATTGATTTATTAAATCTGTTAATATCACATCTTTAGTAGGAATTAGAAGAAAAGCATAAATTGATGCTGATTGATAAATACCCCTGCAATTGTTTTATGTCTTGAAAAATTCATCTGTTCATCAAATGTAATACTAGATTCAACAAGATTGTGAATACCTATTGATCTCATTAAATGATTAGTAATGTTACGATCTTTAAAATCTAAATCAAAATTAAAATATATACTATGTATTATCATATCATATAATCCTTTTCTAGCTTTGTTATTAAATACCAATTATTATTATATATATTTTTTGGTATATTGATTGATACAAAGAAATAATCATTCTTAACATTATTAGGATATTTATTTAAGAATTTTTGGATATCTATAACAGGAGTATAAATATTTTCTGAAGTATCAGATAGTATAAAACTTGTACTAGATATTACATATAGATCTTTAATTCTTCTTGCATAATTCTTTTCTTTAAGTAATTCAAGCTTTATTCCATCATCATCTATTTTAATAATCCAAGAAGTTTTTAATCGTTTAACATCATCACCTCTTAAATAGTATAATAAAATTAACCAAATTCAAACCCTTCAAAAAGACTTTTAAAAGTATCTGTTTTGATAATAAGTGAGTTAAGTATAAATTTAATTTTATCAATTTCTAAGGGATTTGATTGTTTTTGATTATTTTATTCTTGATTAGCGATTGATTTCATATGACTATCCAAAGTTCTATGTAAACTTTTAAATTGAAAAGTATCAAATAAGTTCACAATTCTAATTTTCTTAAATATTTCAGAAATTCCTTTTGTTAATGTACAAAATCTAGTATATAGTGATGATACTTTATATTCTCAACCATTAGATTTTCTTACTTTCACTAAAAATTGTTCTAACTGTTCAGATAATGTTTTATTATCTAATTCAACAATTTTATTTAAATAACTATGGGCTTTATGAAACTTAATAAATAAACCTATTCATATATTATTAGATTTGTCTATATTTATATTTCTTGATGCATTCTGAAATTTTAAAATTGTTTCTTTGGTTGATGAAACAAATTGCGTTGTCATTATTAATGTATAAAAAATAATGTGAAATAGAAAGAAAAAATTTAAGAAAAAATGAAGCATGGGAAAAAATAATAACAAAAAAAAGTTAAATCACTAAAAAAAGTTAAATTGCTAAAAAAGTTTAACTCGCTAATCATACATAATCATATGTTATATTTAATAAGTGACACATTCTTAGGAATTACCTATTTAATTTATAGGGGGTTAGAAATACCATGGTTTTTTTCCTTTAGGAAAAATCATAATATTCCTAATCCCTTATAAAATAAATAATACAAGTCTACTGAGCAAAAGGTAAACAGTTTCTGCTATCTTATTTACTAAATTAATATAGAAGATAAATAGAGTCCTTTCCTATATTAAAAAGGAAATGTTACCTAAAAATTTATCTAAAGAATCAATCAGAAACTGATTACAATCAATTAAATCTTAGTTATTAAGGCTGATTGAATTAAAACTGAAAAAAATCAAGAAGATATTTGCTAAAGTAGTTAGTTGTTAGATTTGTAAAGGTAAGTTTGATATAAATATAGATGAAATTAAATGATTAGAAAATAAAATAATTAGTCTTAAGAAAAAATTAGAAAAATTTAAAAAGAATTGATCCTAAAAAGACTATTTAGCAGAATATAATAGTATTCAAATTAGAGGTTTAGCTCCGGTGAAATCTGATCAATTCATCATTTGATCTAATCAAATTTCAGATCATCTGAATTTCTATTTATCAGATTTCAGATTATCTGGTATAATCTGATCAATTTTCATAATTCTGGCTGGAATTATAAATTTTGGGCAGAATTATAAAAATTACGAAAAATCACATGATTTTTAATTTTTATATGCGCAGGTTTATTGATCAATTTCCTTTTTCAATGATAGCCATTCCACAAAAAAATTTTCTATTTTTAAATTTCAATATTCCTTACATTTTGTGCAATTATAATGCTGATCATTTTCTTTTTAGTGATTGCCATTTCACAAAAAATTTGTTTTCTGTTTTTGATTTCTGTGGTCTTGCCACACTATGTAATTTGTGTAATCCAGTTTCTAAAAATGGTAATGATCAGAGGTCTCGTATTTTAAAATAAGTCATTGGATCAATTAGAAAATCCAATTTCTATCTGGTCAATCCTGTGATATAAACAGATCAATTTGAATCCAATCAAATTTTGGATGGATAATCGGATATCTGAATTGATCAGATTTGAAGCATACCTCTAATCCAAATAACTATTGATAAAGTGATTAAGTAATTGCTTGTGTAAAAGCTAAAATTAATAAGGTTTAAGATCACTATTACAGTAGCGGTCATAAGTATCCGACCGCCCGAGATTGTCCAAAATTATTATATAACTACCCCTTAAATTTTCCAGAAATATAATATAACACAATACATGATCACCTGTAAATT